AAAGCATTGTATTGAAATCTATAAAATACCGCCTTACTCTGTTTTAACGATAAGTAGACAGTTTAAGTATGATATGCAACAAAAATGCAATCAACACGCAATATACTGTTAATCAAAATTAATGATCACCCTATTTTTTACTATTGTGTGAATATTGCTGTTTCTTTACAGTATCATGTAAATATCAAAACAAGCAATGGTATGGAATTTTGTGAGTTTTATGTACATAATAAATTATTGTTCCTTTTATGGAAAATGCTATAATCGATCAATTGGAAAATTTGTTTTGATTTGGTTGATTTTCAATTAAACTATTATCATTTCTTTTCATATTTCTATAGTGATAGTTCAAATTTTTAAATATTCAAGTATTTTTTGTCTTCTTTATAAGTACGTTAGCATTTCCCAAACATTTTCACTGATATTTATATCCGAAAAACGTATAAAAATATTTTTCACTATTAATTCTTGCATTTATCAGTTTGCAAGATGCACTTAAAGTTCCCCTATCTTAAGGTAGTCCGCGGCTAAATTATACGGCGAGAAATATTTTTTTTATTTTCGAATATCAAACCAGTGGGAATTAAAACTGTTTAGCCCGTTTAAGCAGAATTTCTATTCATCGTAGATCATGTAAAAAATTGTAGACTCTAATTGAGATGATATTTCTTCAACGCATAATTTTGACGCAGGTCGTATGATAATATGGGGAGTTTTCAGTGCATTTTAGATACTCCCAAATTACAAGGACGAATAGTGAAAAACGTTAAGAAATTTTAGAATCACATTTGCTTCTTTATTTTTAAGAAAATGGAATATAATTCACATTTTAAAATGATAATGTTGCTATTCACCGCAATGCAAGCACACAACGTGAATTTTGTTTATATTTCAAAACGTACTTAATTATGAAATTTCTATGAAATTCAATTGAATGTAAATAATAATATCTATACTTTAGTGAACTTTCACTAATGTCATCTGTACCAAAACAGGGATAATTCCATTTTAAACCGTAATATTTACGAGGTAAAGTATAAAAGAAACATTTTTTAAGAGTATATTTTTAATTATAACTCGAAAACCTTATTTTAAATTTGCTTAAAAAGCTCAAGGATTAGAAAAGTATATAACACGATGTGCTATAAAAAAAGGAAAATGATTTACCATGTAATTTCGGAAATAAATCCTTAGGAAAAGAGTAGGTTCATTTCTCGTCCATTGTTTGTATTCGATGATTAACAGAATAAGGATAGTTAGGAATTCTAAATTAGTTATTTGAAAATATAGAGATTTGGTAACACAAAATTAAAAAGATTGTGTTATTTATGAACATGAAAATTTGGAAATATTTAAAATTTGAAGAAATTTGAGAATTTTGAACTTTAAGAACAACAATAACTTTTCCCAAAGTATTAATTATTACCAATTGTATGAATATATAAGTTTAAACATCAAAAATGAATTTATCGATGTCGCATAATATTGTTGCAACATATCTCAATTACTTTAATAGCATCTTAGAATGTTATTTCAATGTTTCGGTGGCAATCAGAAAATTTTGTAAATTCATAATATTATTAAAGTCCCCTTTTTTTAATAAAACTTCGCACTTACAACTAAGAAATACACAGATTATTCACATTATGTACAATATGGGAAAAGTATATTTTTCGATCATCTAATGAAGCATATTTTTGTTAAAATTCCATTTTCACAAACTTCTATGTGCTAATGACAATTACTTAAAATATGAGTTTTAGTTCTTCTAATACAATTTTATGAATGCAGTGTGATCAATTTTTATATGAGTACATATAAAAATATGTATATGAGGACCAGAACAGCGATTGAAACATTGCTAAAATTAGAAAAAATACAAATTTCCTGTTTTTTCTTCTGTCTTTCTCAATGAGATTGTTAAAATATCAACGAAAGTGAATCTTAAAAAATAAGGGTAAATGTTTTCGGCTATTAAACTGTAAAGAAAATAAAAAGACTAAAACTTTTACACGTGTTTATTATTTCCTAAATTATATCAGTTCATTTTTAGTAAATTTGATAAAATTTTAAAGATTTAAAATACTGTAAAGTATATTTTTCAAAACTTACTGAGTTAGTTTAATTTGTAGATTTTTTTATACATAAAAATATAGTCATTATTGAGAGCTTTTGTCGTTTTCTTTTAGTTTGTTTTACACAGACAAAAAGCAAGCAGCTTTCTGGAAATCAAAAATTGCTATCCACTGCCTTCCTAATGTGAATTAATTCTTCGAAAATTTGGTGCGATAAAGGCTAAGTTATTTAATATATTATATAAACATTTCCCATTTTTTTATTTTTTTAATATGACTCGAAACCAAAATTTAACCTCGAAATAGATCTTCACCGCTAATGTCCAATATCATTTTCTATTTTTTTTGCTATTTTAATACAAAAAAATGACTCGATACTAGTGAACACGTATTTATAAATAAAATACCTACGTTTTTAAGAAATCCTCGAAAATATATGTTCCCTGATCCCCCTATGTAAACATACACTTAATCCTTGAATAACTGAGTTAGTTAATTGTAATCCAAAGTTTAGCAATGGCATATATTAAACCGACAAAATTAAACAGCCAAACCTTAAAATAATAAATTTTAGTATGTACGAATAATAATGTTTAAAAGAAAAATCAAAATAATTTTTAAAATTAATACGAAGAACAATCTAAAACTAAAACATTCATAATTTGACTTCTAATGATTCAGTTTCTATAAATCAAATGAGGATAATTTCTCCGAAAATTAATACAGTTCTATTATTCTAAATATTTATTATAATACTCAACCGCATTAGTGATATATTCGATGTATGCTATATGATTCATCAATTACGTTATGGGTAGTAAAAAGTAGAATGAGCAATTAAATTAATCAATATCTAAACACCAAATGAAGTATGTAATTAAATTTATGATAGAATTCATCTTAGAACACAATTTTTTTTAACTATTTGCATAATCTAATAGTATGCAATAAATATCGAAAAAATATGATTTTAAATGTCAGAATCTGTTGGTTCAATTATATGATGTTAAAGTTTGGTTTCGGTTGTGGAATCCCTGACCATCGAATTATGACTGTGTACGAATATTTCATTTTTATACCTAAAACATTATGTCATACATGGAAAATTGTCTTAGGTCATTCAAATTATTACTAAATACGTTGATGACGATATACATATACATAGCAATTAATTTGTTACTATCATGATAAAATAAAAGTATAATGTAACGTTGGAGAATCATGTGTGAAAGGTTGACATGAACATGAGCGCTAATTAGTTATTAAATAATACTGACAGTCAGTCACATGGATTTGCTATTCCAATGCAGCAGCTGGCCAGCTGTATCGTTGCCAAATTTTATTGTGGATCGTTCATTCACCAAATACCTGTTCTCTTACCTTCACTTTTCACTTCAGAACTGATATTGCATATACATATATGTATGTATAGTCGCTGACCGTCGAATTAGGAGCACGTATGAAAATTTCACTTTTATGATTATAACATTATGTTATATATGGAAAATTGTCTTAAATCATGTATATTATTATTAAATACGTTAATAACGACATATGCATAGCAATTTGTTACTTTTGTGATAATCAATTGTGTGAGTGATGAGCGATTAAGGCCTGTGCAAGCGTTTACGTTAGACTCAAGTATCGAAAGCGTGTGAGGTCAAATTTGGTGAATGGAGCTTCCTCAAAAGACTAATTTACAACTCTCCAACCACATTATCTGAGTCGAAAAGAATTACAGATATTTTGAAAAATAATGAAGGTATAAAAGAGATATAAAAGTAAAGGGTAAAAGGGTAGAAATACAAGATATTAACATGTGTTAATAATGCTATCTACAGTAATAGTGTGTCATGTTAGTGGCTAATAAATTATATCATTACAATTTGAATAGACCTTTTAATTTTACGATTAACGTAAAAAATACTTGTTTGTAGTGGTCCTAATTCGATGGAACTGTATAATGTAATAACTAAGTAAATTTTATTATTTAAAAATGCTATTAGGTTAATATTATTTTGACAACAGAATTGTCACCATAAATATTTGCAAACGATTTCATTGTGAAAACGTCCTCTTCTCATCCAGTTTTTTGTCGGACACCAGTATGATTCCATTTTTTGAGTATGCGTATCATCGCTAGCTAATATTTATTAGATTCCGTTTATTTAAAACTTAATCGAAATTTCATCGCAATCTTACTGAAATTCAAAGTAAATTATGTTTGTCTATGAACTTTTTACTGCGATTAACACTCTTTATATCCTTTTGCCGTCCTGTGTAATTTTTTAAATAGTCCGTGTGAATTTCACTAGCGACATTAACGTGCTTCTCTGTAACTGGTAACATAGTGAACACTGAAGAATTCTGAACAACAATTATACGAGAGTCGCTTGTGTTAATGTCGACCATCCCCCACACTCAATAACCATCTACTTTTCTACTTTGTATTTTCTTTTACCAAGTTTTCCTCCGTCAGTCCTTAAAAATATGACTTTATTTGTGAAACATTCTTAGTACGATTGACCTGATGGATTAATATTTAGCCCTATCAATACTACTCGGATTTTTCTTTACTTAAATAAGTTATTTATCTGAACAACGATTGGAAATCTCCTCCTCATTTCGTAATATTAATAGTCATAATTATACTATCAAAAATTATGGTGTAAACAATAACTAACACCTTAACAGTCTACTATTCGTATTGGCAATACAGCACGCTTAAGCAAAACGAAAGAGTTTCAGAAGAGTTGATAACCATGTAGTACTTCGCAAATACCAAATTTTAAGAATTCATAACTTCCGAGCGAATAAATACAAAAATCGTTGTATTTCGTCTATATTTATCAAGTATTATCTAATTATAAAAAAAAAGTTAAAAAGAAACGAAGTTTAACCCTATATTTAAATTATTGTCGTTTCAATTCGAGTGTTAATCATTTCGAGTGTTCAAATAATACTAAAGAGTTCAGCAAAATGAAGCAACTTGATGGCACAGTTAAAAAAAGATGAATACAGCTGAAAGCCTTGTCATTTAAATTGTATAATCATAAAAATAGACTCGAATTCTTGAGGAAGGATTATAGTGCATCCCTGTTGATTTAAAGCCGCTTCGGGCGGAGGCGTTTATCTCCGTGAATTGGGAACCTCTGTTTGAACACCTGAATACTTAATAAATGGATAAAATTAACATTAATAACGACTGTCTGTGACCGATCCACATCTTATCCGACGACAAACGTGTTCGACAGTCGCGTGTGATATATACGTTAGGAAAGTTTCTCGAAGAAGGTGGGTCGGCAGTACCCTAGTTGCTTCTTAGACAAACTATTCCGAAAAAGTAAGGAATCACTATTTGGATTCATCGGTGATTGATTTTGTGGCATGGATTCGGAAGAATACACCAACGAATTGTCAAGAAACGAGGTAACTAAGTTTTCACAACATTTCACATTTCATCACAATCTTCACCATCGAACTATTGGACCAAATAAAAAAATTCAATAAAACATATTTTTGACGATGTTTCAACCTTCTATTTATATTTCAACGTTTTCTTTATTTGGCACTTGATTGAGCACATTTTTAAAATTATAAGTTACACGTCTTTTTTTATATATGTAACTTGATTACTATTTTATAGCGCAATAAAATTACGGTCGCAAAGATAAAATAAAATTTACAAAAAAGAATTAAAAATAATATTTTCTTAATTCGGTAAAAAATGTGGTGAAAATTAAATTATATAAAAAGTGAACTTTATCAAAACCAATTAAGACATTTAACCAGTCAATTTTAAATCTTTCAACAAACAAGGTAAAAGAACAAAGGAATGTTATACTTTTTATTTCTACGTTCGATTGAGATTACAGGGCGATACTACGTACTTACATATGTTACATACGCGAAAAACATTAAACAGTGTACGTATGTTTTAATAAATACTACTATATTTTATTTCTGTTACAAATTATAAGTTATGGTTAATTAAAATAACGCTATGTATATCACATATTATGCATATAAAATTACGTTACATACATGTGCGCAAAACATTGAATAATGTACATACGTTACAGTATATACTACTACTTTTTATATCTATTATAAATTATAAACTATTTTTAATTGAAATAACACGGTGTATATGAGACATTATACATGTAAAGTTACATTACATATATTACATATGCGAAAAAGACAAATATTGTACATATACTATTTCTTATTTTTGTGACAAAGGCTAAGGTATGCTTTTCCTTATGTCAAATAAAATATTATTAGATTTAAATATATTAATACAATCGATTATTAGGCAGATAGCTAATTTTTATGCTGAAAAATAGCAATTTTATTTTGGTAATTATACTTTTAAATTACATGGCTTGACGATACAACTAAGTTTTTAACGAATCAAAAAATTGTTATACAAAAAACATTTGGTGAACGATGAAAACAGGTATGAATCGAGTTTCGTCTTTTATTATAAATTGTAAATTTTATTGTGATAATTATAATCTGAGTGGAGTACAATAACGCGTTTCAATATAATTTTTCAACGCATTATAGAGTTAGACACTAATTATTGCATGACGAATAAATAGAAAACAATTTATTGTTTGTTTATATAGAAAATTTTATTTTGATAGATATTTCAGGTATACAAATTCTTTAATAATCCAATTAAACATTCCTTATAATGCAATTGAAGTGAAATCAAAACTTCCATGTAAGAAATAGGTCTAACTATTAATCGATTAATCATCTTTTAAATAAAACGCTAATTCTTATTCATTTAACTCGTATTCATATTAAAATTTTAATAAATCAAAGTATTTAGAACAGTAAAAAGAAAATCAGTAAATATAAAAATGAATATCAAAAATGTTTTTTTCCTGTGTAATGTGATCTGACATCTTTTTCAGTCTGAAAATGATAGCAATAACGAAGACTGTACTCATTCCCCAATATTATTGGATCTAGATAAAAACACTAAACAACAACAACAACAGCAAGAAATATTAAAACAAGAAGAAGATTCGATAACAAAGTTACCCTCTGTCGGTCAATACTTGCAGGATCAGTTGATTAAAAAAGGATCAGGTATTGTTAATACATATTTTGTAAATACATTATTGGAATTAATGGAATTGTTTTCATACAAAAATGAACAAACTGCTACTGTAGAAGCACACAATATTTTCGATGTTTAAAGTGTGAAAATTTTGCACAAATTTGATTTTCTCGGAAGTTACAAATACTGCAACAATAAACATCGATAAATAATAAATTAAAGTAAATACTTGTGCATTTTTGAAAACCTCATACAGAATTCGGCTCAAGAATTAAACACTAATATTTTGTACTTTGGTATGGTTAAAACTTTTCAAGTTATGAGCACTGAAAATTTAGAACCAGCTTTTGCTTAAAAAATCATAACTTAAATAATATCAATAATACACTATCTATTAATAAAAAAATTTTAAGCCTTACAATTTTTAATATACTTAAATATTTAAGTAATTGCACTCAGTGCCAGAAAGCAATAAATCATTAATTATTCTAATTTTTGAGACATTTAATATTATTAAATAAAAATAAAGCTGAAACTAGTGAGTGTCCGAATATTTACGGACGAGAGTATGCATTTAAAAAGGTTTAACAGATAAGAAAAGCATTAAACAATAAACTGTTAAGTATATGAATAGAGGAAATTGTAAATTTTTGTCCGTAGAAAATTCATGCGTTCCCCGTCGACAGTCAGGAAGGAAATCATGGCAGGATGGAAGCTTTGAAGATCGTCATCAAAATAGCGATCGAGTGTTTGTAATAAGAGTACCAGAACCAGAAGTGATTAATACTCATCCTCATTTAGAAATTCTTCATGAAACTAACATTAAATCGGTGCAACGAGAGCCATCACAAACTGAGAAAGGTAAATAAAAAACACACATTTTATAATCAACAGGATATTTGCATTTCAAGATTCCACAAAACTACATGAAACACACTGTTAAGTGGAATTGCTCGCATTAATATATGGACACTTTATAGTACTTATTTGATAATACTTATAGTACTGTATTTACTATTGCAAGAAGGGATAATTTATATATCACACTGCTTATTTTACAGAAATATAGATTTAGATAATACATAATAACGTAGACATAAACTTAAATCCAAGATAGTTGATATAATATGAATTTGTATAAATGTAATGAAAATAAAAGACAAAGTAAACTAGCGTACAAAGAAAAATATTCAGAAAGAATACAACTTAGTGAAACTCAATTTCTTTATCTTAAAAAACGTTTTAAAGGCGTTGGATTTGTAGGGAACCATTGTCGTAATCGAAATACTTCTTCCGAAGATAAGTAATTAAAAGTTCTTTTACATTCTCAGGAAGAGTCATCTGCTTCAACACGATAGTGATTCGATTAAATCATCGCGTTACTAGTAAAATATGATATAACGCTTTTGAAATCCATATTATAGAAACAGTATACAATACACATATATGTATGTATGTAATTTGACGAAAACAGAGAATCATACTGTGAATATAACGCGAACCGGTCAATACAAAAGTACGAAAACATATTGGACCATAAAGGGTTAAACAATGTTTCTCTACCAATTCTTCACAAAGGAAAAAGTCTTTATATGCCTATATGTATATGTATTTATACGTTTCAATGTTTGCAGATTACAAGAAGTCAGCCTGCGATCGCGAACGAACTAGGATGCGAGACATGAATCGTGCATTCGAACTTTTGCGATCAAAATTACCGATATGCAAGCCACCGGGAAAGAAACTTTCGAAAATCGAATCACTGAGGCACGCAATAACATATATACGCCATTTACAGAGTCTTTTAGAACCACAATATAGTTACGTTCCGAATGTACCTGAAAGAGGGTATTATCCTACGAGCACATCGGTTACTTCGAGTACATCTTTTGATGTACAGCACCCTTCACGGTGGGAATCGTTTGCTTATTATCGATACGATTATCATACACCTTTCGTCAATTCTTCTTCAGCAACGTTACCTCCACCTATTCATCCTAGAGTACCAACAGAACAAGATGACCGACAGTTTCCTTACGAAACACGACATTAATTATTTATACGGTAGAATAATTAACATCACACTTTTTTTAAGAACAACCTAAATTTTATTCAGATTGTTGACATTTTTATTCAAAATTATGCTTATTTGTTATTATATTTTTATGTGAATATTTAGACAATTTAGATAATACTTTAAATAAGAAGAAATATGTCTAGTTTTCGTTTTTTAATTACTATGTAAAATATTGGTACATTCTTAATACCGTTTGACGGTCGCACGTTTCGTGAAACATATCTTTACGATTTTAAAGTTATCTAGAGATTTTTCATACTTAACATGTGTTATATATTTAATGTACAATGCAAAATTACTCATTTTCAAAATGTGATTAATATCAAATAAAATAGATATAAATAAGTAGAAAATTATTTATATAAAAACATGTTATTTATTTGTTTATAATCATTATCTGTAAAGATACTAATATTCGTTTCTTTTAAACGAATCTTTCATGAGCGTAATCCGAATGTATTACAATTGTTAATCAATTTTCAAATTGCACAATTTCCAAAACTTCACATTTCCAAACTTTTAAATTTCTAAGTTCCAAATTTTTAAAAGTTTAATTTTCCAAATCCTTAGATTCCTATTCACAATAAATGTAAAAGTTTCACTTGTAACGTATGTAATGACTAAGTACATAATCTTTTTTTAATAGAACATATATCTTTATTACACTTGTTAGATTATATATTGTTAGACACGTGCAAAACACTAAATAATGACTAGAGATAATTACTTATCTACCAAATGTTCCTTGCATACATAGTCATTTACTACAGTAATACTTCTGATTATCAAGTTTATTCTCCTACTTTATTTTTGAGACACAGATACAGTAGAATTGATTTAACAATTTTATTTTAAAAAATGTTTGCTGTTATAATTAAATAATTATTTTTTTTCATTTTAACCCCTTAGAGTCTACAATAATTTAAAATATGTAGATCACCAAGTCCGTAATGATAAAAAAATCAAGAAATAAAAGAGTTTACTTTTGTAGATGATGAACAAGTCTAACAATGTTGTTATAACTCAACTACAATATCCGATTTGAATACCTATGTAGTCTAAGCAAGAATCGCAGAGGGACACGCAAAATGAAATTGTCGTTCACACTGGAAGTAGCACGGCGTATAGTTCATAATTTTTAAATTAAATACTTTTAAGCATATATCACCAAGAAATCCCATTATGTGTATGATATTTTAATGAATGCGTTCGCTAATTCTTTGTTAAGCGCTGAGACGCTTTTTTTTAAATACAGTCTCAAGAAACAAAATCAAAATTTAACTAAAGACTATTTAAAAAAAAAGTACTTAGAAAGCTGAGTGATATTTAATAAGTATTATAATAAAAAAAATTAAAAGTGATGAAAATTTTTTATTCACTGCTCAAAAGAAATATGGCATAGAAAAATTTTAGGCAAAAATTGGCCAAATTTGACTGATGATAACTCCGTGAAAAATCATCGCAAAGTTATGCTCTTTTTTTTTTTTCAAATTAAAGCTTGAGATCTCTACCTTAAGACCCTGTAGTTTGATTTTAGATTTGATGCATCACTACCACAATAACACCGTAAATGTGAGGTCATGTTTGCTATATTGATAATTACAAAGTTTGACGAAATGCATGGACTTGCCACATTTGTTTTTGGTGATACTGTTTACAGCAGTATAAAGTACAAACCTTCATCTTTATTTTCCAGTATGTGAAAAACCGCTACCATTTTTTCCCGCAAAGATACAGAACTTTAGAGAAACCCTTGCATTTATGGAATATACCGCCGGCATTAGCATTACCCGATATGCACCTTGGAGAGGTTGCTGGACAGATTTTGCACATCATATGGATCTGACAAGAGCCTTTTTTTGAGTGTATTTGTGTGTGAGTATCTGCGTGTGTGTATGTTTGAATTCTAATAACGTGTGTTTCCTCCGCGTTGTTGAATTATCCCTTGCAGCCTATTATTCATGTTAATGCAAGCCCTAATTTCTTTTTGTGAAATGTCATTCCAAAATTGAGTTAAGACTTGCAACAAGTCTTACAGATTGGCAGGTTGTCTTTTTAAATTTCTGTAGGGTTCAAATCTGGATTTACTGCAGGATGTGGAAGCAATCGAATTGAATTGGGACTGCAAAATTCGAGAATGATTCTCAACGAGGTTTCTCGACGATAATTCATACACACACACAGATACTCACACACAAATACACACAAAAAAAG